CCCTCGGCTGGGCGACCGCCGGCTCCGGAGGCCCTGGCAGCGCGCCCCTCTCGCTGCTCGGAGCGGGGGCCGGAAGGGCAGTGGAACTGTCGGGACTCCAGGGCAGCGCGTCCCCGTTCTGCAGCCCCGCTCCCGGGGGCGGGAGCGGCGTCGCTGTCGGACGCCCAGCGGCTGCCCGGGAAGCCGAGGACGGCCGCGTCGCAGCCCCGGGAAAACCTACGCGACCACCTTAAGTTTCCCCTGGATGTTGCGGCTGCGGCTACCGCTACCGCCACCGCCCAGCGGTGCCCTAGTGGGCGCGAGAAAAAAAATAATAAAACCAGGAAGTGTGTGTGTATGTGTGTGTGCGCGCGCGCGTGTGGCGGGGCTGTTGTTTGTGGTGGCGAGTGCGGGTGAGTGAGTAGGGGGTGGGGAGTGAAGAAAAGCTTATTAGTATGCGTTCAGTAGCGTCAGCGCCCCGTGGGCAGGAGCGATTCCCCGCGAACGAAAGGGAAAAAGTGAGAGTTTGGAGCGCACTGGAGAAGAAAGGGGGTGGGGGTGGCGGTGACGCAGGGGCGCAGCCATTGACGCACCGGCCAAGCGGGGCCCAAAATAGCAGCAACTCTAGCTCAGAGGCGCCTTCCCGGGTTCCCTTCCCTTCCGCGAGGGAGCGGGGCGCGGCCAGAGGGGGAGCTTTCCTTGATCCCCGCGGTGGGCCAGATTCCCGCAGCTATTTTCTGGCAGACGGAAACTCAAGCACAGCCACGCTGGGGTGGCAGTTATTATTTTTTAATACAATCTTAGGAAAGCGGAGGCCGGGAGAACTTTAAGGTTGTAACCACAACCCTCTAAATATAAATAATTCTAAGTAGACACACTCCCTGGGCACGCTCCTCCCTCACTGCCATTAAAAACACACTCAGTTTAGGCTGGGTTCAATCTGGGGACAATTTGAGGAAATTCCTCCCGGAAAGCGGAAAAGTGTCCTGCAGTTCTTAAAATGTTCTCCAAGGAAGGCATATATCGTAATGATGCGTTAGTTAACAGTCTCCTAGATATGGATTCTTGAAAACAGAGCCTTTGCTCAAGCCTGAACGTATGCAAGATCCAAAAGCAGTCTTCACAGCAGTTTATTATAATAAAATGACAATAGAGTAATTCAATATAGCGTTAAAATGAGATAAAAAGGGGACTTTCCCCTTCCTTTCGTCTGAGTTTGCCTTCCCCTCTAAACTCTTATTCTGGCTCCTGGGAAGTGTTACTATTTCTTAGGAATACATCGACTGTAGAGTGGCAAATTCGCTTAAACTAATTCTTGGATGAGCTACGTCTTGAGCTGAGGTTTTAGGTAGGACCGCGATATGCTCGAAATGGAAAGGATCCAGCATACATATAAGTAGGTGTAGAAGGGTCATGCTCAATACCCCAGACTTCTGTTTTGCCCCCCAGCTAGATTCTGGTGGAAAGAAGTCTCAGGAGCACTGCCAACGTCTGTAATTGACTGATCCTGTCAGTAGGGGGCCTGACTCCACAATGTTGAGAGAATATCACACACAGGCCCACAGAGGCGCGCGCGCGCGCGCGCGCGAACACACACACACACACACACACACACACACACTCAATCACAATTAACTAATTACTACTACTCCTAGGGTAAGCCCGAGAAAAGAATTGTGCAGGCCCAAATATTCATGTCGTGCTGGAATTTATAAAGAACTACGGATCTTTGATTTTCTTTTTTTTTCTCCGAAAGGGAAACAGTTTAACACGTGGGATTAGGTTCACAATAGATTTTATTTCCGCCTGCCCATGCTTAACTCACTGTTAGGGCACAGGGGGAAAAAATCAAAATGGTAATAAAATCTCTCATTTTATCACCATTCAGTTCAAATTGGCATAGAGTTTGGAAAAATGAAAGCATGTTTTAAAATCCTATGATTACATGTTTAAATAAATTATAGTTTAGAAGAGGATTCCTGTGGGTGTATTTGCTGGTACATAAGAGAATGCTTTTGTGCATAGAGGTTTAATTACACTTATAATGGAATGAAAATGTAGAACTGAACAACCTTTCACAAAATGTTAAAACGATGCTTTAGGCTAAAAGAAACTGAAATTCTGCATTTATATGACTGCAATCCTTCTGGATTCTTACACATAAATAGTTCAAAAAAAGTATTTTATCACTCAATTAAAATGACAATAACGGTTTCTTTTCAGGACCGACGTCGGATATAACTTTAAAATATTGCCATGTATAAATGTGCAAAGTTATCCCATATGAAGGCCTATTTTCTTAATAATTTAACATATATGGGAGCAAAAATTGGTCCTATACATAAGCAGCTCCCTCTACGGAAACCAACAAAAATAAATTATAAATTATTGCTATTAATAAATACAATCAGATGGGCTCAGAAAAGCATTGAGGAAGGCAAAGTTACTACATTACTTTTATATTAATAAATATTAAGCAGAATATACTGGCACATGTATGGAAAACATATTTCATTAAAATCAATATAAATAATACATATATTCACATCTAAACTATTTTATGCATGGCTAAGCAGATTATACTTAATAAAATTGAGCTTTTGGTATAATTTAGAAAGCAAACATGGATGTAATCTCATAGGATTTTCTACCTTAATGCATGGAAAAAAAGGCCTCCATGGTTCCCTTTCACCATTCTATCCCCATGAATTCAGAGTAGACCTTACAATGCAGATGTAGTGGAATAAACACATCTTATGCCTCAAAAGTTGAGGCAACTATAAGATGTTTTGTAATACAATTATTTTGTGCAACATAAAATATTAAGATGAAATATATTTTAAATTACATTTGGATAAACTCATCTATAGCATTCATTGCCAATTTGCAGGCAGTTTTAATTAGTGAAAGAAGAAATTTTCACTTTGAAAAAAATCTCTAAAAAAAATCAATATTAAAAATACAAATTTTGTTAATATTGAAAGTATTTTTTGTTTTGCTTTTGCCATTTCATTGGCGCTAACAGGATATTAATGAACCAAATATTTAATTCCCCATAGGTTGCTTAGAGAGCAAGTAAGTTGCTTCTTTGATACTCACATTTTGGGTAGTTGTGGCTTTTATTCAGTTTTATAAACTCATTTTTCACCAAAAACCATTTAATGCAAAGACTTTACAAATCATTTCTTACTTTGATTCAGAACTCTTTTCTAGAAATGTGTAAAGATGTGCAAAAGTAAACAGCACTCTTTTCTAGAAGCGTCTCCTTGTAAATCAAAATTATAAAACTGAACATATGGTAAACCTCATGCACTCAGAAAAGTATTCTGCATAATAAAAATCTTTCATCTTTTCATTAATATTTGACTCACTGTGGCCTTTTCCTAAATATTTGTTTTTAAATTAACCATTTACTATCTTCCCATGTAACAAT